GCTACACATTATCCAACAGTAATTGCTACGAAGTAGTAAAAATGTTGGGTGTTCGTGCACTTAATTGCAAGGTATCACAAGGAATTAATTCAAACTGGACTTTGCTTGTCAGGAATTAACTTGATTTATTCGTTATGCGTCCATTTTTACGTGGGTATTACGTGTTTGCTGGGTAAAAAATCTATGACCTACTAAAAGCATTTCAATGCATTTTTATGTACAAAATACTGTTAGAATGTGGATATAAATTGATAACCGCATATGTATACTTATGAATATACTTACTAAATATGTGTATGTGCCCAAAAGCAATAAGTTGGAACTTGATCAGCAATTGTCGTGTTTCTTTTCATTGTATTCTAAGTTCGATTAACATCAAAAATTGCGTCTTATTTTTACTCAGACTTGGTAAATTGAATTTCTGAAGGTAGTAAGTAATGAGAATATTGGTACGACTGACAACTAGTTTTCCTGCATCCGGGCATCTAGATTACTATCAAGGTTGGACAGGATTTCAAAGCATCCATCTTTAGCTCTAACCTCACCGACGAGACTAGGTTTTCAGCCACGATCAGACCAATGTCCTAATGGCCAAGACTAGTAGCATGTCCAGAACTCATCGCTCATTTGAGTTGTTAGCGAAGAGTGGTTGATGAAGCGTATCCGGTCTGGGAGCGGTCCAAATGGACGACAAGCTCAGCATTCCTGATTTTTCCTCGACGTTTATATCCAACTCCTTTACGTGGAGAACACAGTAATGAAAGTGGATGAGGAATGGAAGGTGGTGTGATTTCTTATGATGGTGATGATGATGATGGGTCGACCACTACCACTGCTGCCCACAAGCCATTACAACTAAGGAGGGGAGCTTGCGAGGTTGATAATAACAGATCTTGATGCCCTTTGGATATGTGGTAGGGACGTAGGGACCCATGAGTGAACTAAAACCCTGAAGTGGTTTGACTCCATGGCCCCACTTGCGCCCGCCACACCCACTCAAAAATGTCCAAAAAACGCTTTCACTCCAGTTTTCACTCATTCAAATCCACGCCAAAAATCCAATTTTACTCGGATTTTGAAATTTCTTTCACCATTACACTCCCAGATAGTTGCTTTCTGCAATCCAATATCAAACTCAATTTTTTCGAAATTTTTAGTATTTTTAAAAATTGCAATTCGGAATGAGGATTGTTGTAGTAATCAACAACGCAAATTATGCCTGCGAAATAGTCATCAGCAAAATTGAGTTTGATATTGGATTGAAGAAAGCAACTATCTGGGAGTGTAATGGTGAAAGAAATTTCAAAATCCGAGTAAAATTGGATTTTTGGCGTGGATTTGAGTGAGTGAAAACTGGAGTGAAAGCGTTTTTTGGGCATTTTTGAGTGGGTGTGGCGGGCGCAGATGGGACCATGGAGTCAAACCACTTCAGGGTTTTAGTTCACTCATGGGACCCTACCACATATCCAAAGGGCATCAAGATCTGTTATTATCAACCTCGCAAGCTCCCCTCCTAAGAAAGAGAAAGGATAATTTTCCAACAACCAAGGAAATGAGTCATTGCCCGACGTTTCCGAACCTTTCGACACATTATTTCCCACACGAATGAGCACTCATCAGCTTTCAAATTTTGCTGGGCGAACGATATACCTACACATCCAGTCTCTTGCTCACTGATATAAAGAAGGCCATGGTTTGCATAGCCTACTGTGGGGGAAGATACTATAGAGCAAATAATAATTTCCCCGTATCATACAAATATGCACATATGTACCCCAAGAGCTTGCACAAATCAAGTCACACCAACTTACGAGTACATACATATGTACATACGAGAATATGTACATATATTTTTCATGTCATTACAGGGTGTGCAGGGAGGAGAATAAAGCCTATCAGGGAGCATTTCAAACCAAACTAAAGTTTCGGAAGTGATGTGAATTCACAGTTAGTTAGCTTCATTTTTCTCCCTCAAATCCAATTTATTTTCGACAGGCGTACCTATTAGTCCAGAATTCAGAGCTGAAGGACTCAACGAAAAAGAACGCGTTAGTTTGGACATTACCCTGTTGTTCTCCACTTAACAAGCTCAAATAAGCCTAGAGCTGTTTCCTCTGCCCCCACTCGCTGGCTAGCACATCGAATACTGAATGCCTCAAGTTTGGACCTGGTTAACGAGCAATGTTCACAAGGATAATGAGGAGAGGTCACTTTCCCCTCAGAAAGAAGGAAAGTCTGCAAAGGACTCTGACTAACTAACCAACATGGGAGGGAGGGATTATGTACGTGGGTTCATCTCTCGATTCATCTAGATTCCGATTTAGATTCTGCATTCCGGTCTCTAAATCATTGAACAAAGTATTACGACGATCCCAATGGTGAACGTAATGTAATGGAAATTGTTGGTTGCTTGATGCGTACGTACGGCTAACCATACTTCAGCCTGACATCAAATGGGCAATCCGGAGGGAAATATTCCTGTGATCATCATCAAGTTTCTCAGAGATCAGAATTCGTGAGTGAGTGCTGTGACTGAGGAGTAACAACAACTTTCGAGTGTGGGACATGGGTGGAACAAGCACCAAGCTGAACTTGTACTTGGGATGAATGGCAAACGAAATGGAGCGAAGATGCCGGTGACTAAGATGGATGGACAACGAGCCCTTCTCCTTGCCCTTTTCACTTACAACCCAATCAATTCAATTCTCTGATCGGCCCCAGTGAAAACTGGACACATGAATTTTACACCAACAACGAACGGACGAACGAATTTACGGAGCAATAAGTTTACATCGACCTGCTTGCATTGGATTCAATTTATGCCCTCTCTTAATTTAGACATTGAGGAATTGGTAAGATATGAAAAACTCTAATTTTAACCAAATTTGGACAACAGTATTTATTGTGACGAAAGAAACCAATACTACAATGTGATTACCTGACATAAATATACGAACATCAAATTGAAATGTCTCGTATTCCCATCATTTTTCTTATCTTATTTCGTCATCATTTTTGATTAGATTCAAATAAGCATGGTTAGTTTCTTTCAAGATTCGTATCAGATGTAAATTATTGGAGAAATGTTGTATTCAAATGTCGCAGTGCAATCTAAAAAGTCAATGGGATCATAATAAGTCCCACCCAAACCACTTCATCCTCGCACAATAAATAGCACTTTGTCAATAGCATACAACCAAAAGCAAGTAAAATGCAAAGGGTATTAATATCAGCTGCCGAGCATAAAATTGAAATTGACTCGTAACTTGCTGGGGTGAAGCTTCATCTGCTGTTGGACCATTAAGGAAAATTTTCCACGTAATAGAGAAGCCCACTCCAAATCTCATTATGTGTGTGGATTGTTGATTGAAATTGCATAGGGTGTAACTTTTATCTCGACCACAGAAAAGTGTTTCAACTCGAGTTCAATTCGGATCCATTTGGGTGGAAGAGGCGAAGGTAATGGGGCACCGCCAGCCTGGTCAAATCCAGTTAACGAAACAAATGTTGGCCCGTCAGATGCGGACCCTTGGTCGCCTAATGAATGGAAGCAACTGAACATTTCTCCCCCAAACACATAACAAGAATTCACCGAATCATTGTATTGCCAGAAGAACTGCAAGATTCGACGCTAAAACAAAAATTGATGATTAGCAGCAATAATATAACGATCACCATAATAAGGAGGTATATATCTGCATATCGTATAACGGATCAGCTAATGCACAACCGCGACTAATCAATCGTGTTTATTAAAAGTTGAAGTTGACGTCTACTTGAAATATTTAAAACGTAAAGTACATCATATCCCCGCCTCCTTTCATATTCGATTAAAGCCCATTGTTCAATTCGTTTTCAACTCCTCAAAATGCAGCCTTATGACTGAATCGGAATCTCTAAAGAGGAAGAAGCAACTCTGTCTGCATTCATATTTAGCAGGAGCAGCATGTGAACGTAATAAATAGACGTCCCAAGTTGAAGTAAAGTGTTTCTATTTTATATGGGCATTCATGTTAAGGGGAGCTTGTGATTCAATTCAGCATTCATTGAGTGACTGTTATGGGTTGTTGATGATTTTAAATGAAAGTTTACCCAGACTTTACCCGAGGATTTAAAAAGAACTAATGGGCCCTTCATTCACTGTCAAATAAGATAATAAATAGAAATAAACTTGAGTTCATCCGTGATGAAATTTGAATTTATGTTTTATGACCCTTGCACAGGCACACGAGTGCTCCAACCCAGCCTTTGTCCATACAGATACCGAATTATAATATACAACGGCAGACGGCCGAGAATGATTTTTGCAGCTTATTTTAGTCATGCTTCGGTGACCTTCATCTGACCGCCTGTCCATCTTTTTTTTTGAAAACCTCCCTCCCTCCATCACCGCACCATACTCTCCGATCGCCTGTGTGTACAAACTCTTGCTCAGTTAATGATCTCCACTTGAAAAAAGAAATAAACAAAATTGGGCGTCTGGCGCTTCTGCTCCGAGATGTGCGTACCCACAAAAAGGTCAGACGACGAACAACGAATGCACGTATTCAGAGAATATGGCAAGAAAGCGCTTGAAAATAAAATGAAATTCTGCGGACTGGGTTGCTTCAACTGTACATATTTTAATTTATGGCTGGACCTACGACCACACTACTGTATGGGCGTGTCCATACGTTTTCATAATATGAGCTCTTTGTGTAAATTCACAGCTGTCCCTAAGCCCTGCTACATATTTATAAGAAATCCCATGCAAATATTGGCCAAATATTTTATGATTTACATCCGGATCCGGAGTTGTGTTTCGAATCAGCACATTCATCACAAGCAGTCTACACAGTCAGAATTTTAGGAGATAAATCGCTTCCTTCCATACTCTCATTTCTGAGCAATTTATCAACGGCTGATTTTTAAATGATATTATCTATGGCTTGAGATGGCGCATGTATATTTTTGTATATTCAATTTTCCATGTTGAAAAGTGACCTAATAGACCTATTTACCTGTTGTTGGTTAGTATAGGTCGAATTCAGCTGCAAGGTATGTAGCCTTTCGTAAATGCACTGCAATTACGGGACCTGAAACAATTTAGAATTTCATGATTAGAAATGGACTTCATAAGAATTGAGGACAATGAGTTCTAATAAACATTAAATAGGCGAATTTGAGCAACTACGACTGGCAAAGAGACTTTTGTCCAGAAAATCCTACTTAATTTTGGAGCAAGTGTGCCATTATCATTCCAGATGAATGATCCGCATTGACTTTGACTCTCTCCAATTGGCTTCTCTCGAGCTCTTTCTCTCCATCCACAGTTAAGGCAGAGCAAACGTTCAGAAAGTCTTGGTCTCCTTTTAGACGGAGCAGTTCACATCACATCACAATCAACCCAGACAAAGATAATCATGACCATAACAATAAAGCAGATTCAGAATAACAAAATTCATGCTTTTGATGACTCAATCGATAGCTAAAGTAAACCAGTCAACAGGAATTTCGATTTCGTCTACTAGTAGAATGCTCACGTCAACCTAATTTCAAGATTGGGTAACAATCAAACAAGTGCACTGTAATCCACCTCTTCTTAAAAAAACACTAAATCAAGTCGTTGACATTTCATTAAAAACTCACGGGAAAAGTGTGCTTAACATTAAAAAGACACATATAAATTATTTCTAACGTTTGTGCCCTCTTTCAAACACACGTGACCGTATAAATCTGATCAATTCATCGTTTAAGTTGCGGATACATACACATGTACACTCAAACATGTCAAGTATTTAGTGTGGCTGGCAGTGTAGTTGAAGGTTCAAAACCGCTTATTCGAGTATTTGAAGTTATGGTCGTAGCCAATAATACATATATCATTTTATGAGTTTATATAATCAACAACTAGCCAAACAATGCACGTTATGATTTATCAAAATCATCAGAGAGCCACAGAGTCCTCCATGCTCCAATTCCTCGACCGATCTTATTTCCTTCCTCCTACATTCCTTTTGTCATAAATTAGCTAGTCCATAAATCTCATCGGTGTCAAAAGCAAGGATAATGCTTTATTTCCACATCTCCACATTGATTCGTAATACGAATTTCGTATATCGGGTTCAGTTCAGCGATCCTCCGGCCCAGGCGATCGAGGAGGAGAACACAGGAGAAGCGAGGGAATGTATAATAGGAGGCGACGTGGAAACCTCACAAAAAGGAATCCAGAGCAAAGAAGTCATTAAGATATCTCAATTCAACAATCATCATGAGCACATAATGGCTCGAGGCCCCTTCCTTGACAATTCCATTACACTTCAATTTCATTTCAATTTAATCCGATTTTCCCTCCTCCAGCACAATACTTGCCACAAGGACGAAAATGGATTGGCCCCTTCTGTTATGTGCTACTGACGATGTTATTCGCTGCTCACTTATTGCTCTGCTTCTCTCCTTGGTCTCATTTCGTCAAGAGGAAAAATCTACTCAATTAAAAACTTTTCCTCATGAACTCTCCGAAGAACAAAGAGAGAGAGAGAGAGGAGAAAAATCTGACTCCCAAACTTTTTACACCACCACCACGTCCACAAAGTGGTAGCCAAACAATGAAACTGCAGCTGCCAACTCAAAATCGACTCTCGAACCCTCAGCGTTCTCCCACAATACTCGTTCATTCTTCTGCAAGGGACGACTCACGGAATGCATGTAACTAAAGCCCTCTGCATCTTTGGTTAAGGATGAAGGCAGACATGAGAAATTCCGATGGATATAAGAACCGATATAATTCCATGATCTGCTAAGTTCCCAATAGTCAATGCCACATTATTGGCTGTATTTTGTTTGCTGCTGCTGCAGTCGGAATAGTTTTTCGTTCAGTGTCAGGAGGGGGAAGACTTTCTACTTCTTCTCGCCCATGTCAAGGGATGTCAAGGTTAAATTACCAATTAACGACGACGATGTTCCCAACTTTCTTGAGCCAAAAGAACGTGCCACCACCAGTGGACGAATACGTACGCAGCTGTAACTGGCATGCATACGTTGCCATGCTTTAATTGAATCCGACAAACCCTTGTACCAAAATCCAAATGTAGCCTTGTCTAAACTAACTTATTTAATTACTTTTCTGACCAAAAACTTTTAAAACTTGCAAGATGAACAGTGTACCCAGTGTGTATTTATATACAGTTACATGCTGAGAATTTCAGTATCAAGTTGCGGTTAAATTTAGCTAATTTTCGCAGTATCAGGAGGTCTAAAATAGATCTCAGACGACATTACGTAACTATATACTTGCGTAATACATTGGTATATACAACCACTAAATACCAATTGCACATCAAGGACCAATAGGACTGATACGAACATCACCTTACAGAACTAATTATGTAAATCCTTGAAATTGACAACATTGTGGTTACAAATTAGGAACAGTGCTAGTAGTGAATCTAAATTTGTAAACTATGCTACAAAAATTGAGTTAAACAAAAATTATTCAAGGCTAAATTGGTAATTTTCCGAAAATTGAAGCCGAATAGTTAGCAAAGTTTCATAAACCAGTAGATTTATTTCCAGTGACATGTTATCCTTCCATTTGAATTCCATTTCCGTTTCCCCAATGATTTACTTTTATTTTCTATCATCCTCTGTCACCGTGGAGGAATTAATGGGAAAGTAGCAGGAAAGGAGGCAAGTTTTCAGACCCATTCGCCCGCACGCAGCTATCCGCCGGTGAAATGAGCAGTGGAGGAAGAAGGAGAGGGAGCGAACCTGGTGAAAACCGTCCTGAAGTCAATAATATTTTCAGTTGGGAGAAAGTAGCTAAGGAAGCCCTAGAGTGGAGCAAGGAGAGAAATCCAAATGCGAAATTTTGATGAATTGTTTAAGAAAGTTCAGCCCGTCCTCTAATTACTAATGACAGGCAGAAGTGGAAGATGGAAGAGGGTCGCCTTTCACCGGGCTCAAATACTTTCTTTCACTTCCTCGCACCACCACCACCGCCGGTGAGCAGAGTTCCATCCGTGGAAAAGCTCCCGAGGGAAGTGGCACGAGAAGAGGAGTTCTCTTCCACTTCCTTCCTCTACCGACCAAAATAATTTGTTTCATTTTCTCGTTTAAGAGATCCGTCTCTCTTTTCTACATATATTGTGTTGTGCTTGAAGATGCGGTTCAAGTAAGAAATATTACCATCCAGAAGCATGCTATGTATGTATACCGAAAATAGACTGCACAGGATCGCAGTACACAAATAATTTGCTTAACGAGGAAACTTTAATTAAGACACTTAAGATCAGTTTAAGCACTTTATCTCCCATTAGACAACTATAATTCAATTACGGCAATTAAAACTGACCACAAACCCTTTCTTAAACCATTGTACGGATTGGATAGAATTTAGGTGAGGAAAACACAGGCTGTAAATCAATTAACTCTCAGACTTCTGCCTCAACAGTTTAGTTAATCTTGATAGTCCCGCAAGAAAAGGTCTGACACCAATGAATTAATTATAAACTGGCCAAAAATAGTATTATACAACTCACTCAAAATATCACCCTACATAATCTACCGCATATTTAAAATTAGCTCATCTTTTAAACCCTAGTGACACCGGCTTATTTACGTGTACACATACGTACGTATACATATGTACAGATTATGCAATGTATTGTTATGTGATGTACATTATGTAACCTACAATTTTTGTCAAATCGCTTTCATTTAAATGCAAATACTGGCTGACGACCCAAATCTGTCTCGTTATGAGTTATCTTGTAATAATACGACTCCTTATTGTAATCCTAAGGGCAATCCCGTAATCTTGTTGTTCTGATTGTGACTAGACGAGGAGAATTAAACAGACAAATATCTCTTGTTGTTGAGACACTTCACTTGGCTGTACAAATAAGATCAAGATTAGTCACGAACGAATGGAGGCATAACTTGTCTCAACCAAGTTTTCACTGTTTCGCACTGGATTGGATTGAAATTGCAAGTGACATCGTCCATTACCAACCAGAGAGACAGAGAGAGGAGAGATTCCATTAAAATAAAATAACCCATTCTCCTCTCACTCTTTCACAACAGCAAGAATTAGATTAGTTGCATAGATAAGGGGATCAGCTCGAGACCAAATCTGGGGAGAAATAAATGTTTGAAATTGTGTTGGCGTTCCAGAGCCTCAATAACTCATGGGGAATAAACATAACTTTGCCCAAATCGTCACGTGAATGTCGGGTACAGCTCCCAGTTAAATATCTCATTTCCTTCTAATAATCAGACAAGGGCATTGACTGGAACATCAGCATTTCAGCATATCAATCAACTACGTATTTATAATTTCCTGTTCCAATTTAAACTCCATCATCAGCCAGAGAGAGAGACGTCCATACAGTTCTAGAGATTGCATGCACGCAGTAAGCCAACATTTTTTGGCAAGTCTTTAATTCAACTTTGTGGAAAACAGGGAAAAGTGGAAAATTTCTCCGCTCCGCAAACACATACGTCCACTGTCCAAAAAACAGGCCATAATAGGAAACGGGGGACAATATAGGGGCAAAGTGGAAGAGAATAGAAAGAGTAATGGGATACATGGAACTGATCCAAAGCAGTTTCAAATGTTACATACTACACACTTAAACCTTGTACTTGAAGCTGTGCTTTGGCCCTCCATTATAAAACATGGTTTTCTTGAATTGAACGAGAAATTGAAGCCAATCGAGCAGTGGAGCCAATCTTATTGAGTAATGCCAATAGTAATTTACGATTAGAAGAGACGACGAGTCAAAGCCTGCTTCCACTGGGAGAGAGAGAATACCAGAGCCAGTGCTACTCAACGTAATGACAGTCCAGTCACCACAACTCTGTGAAAGTCAGAGGAGGAGGAGGAGGGCTTCAGATATATGGAAGACTTTCTCGTTGCGGTTACCAGTTGTGCAGACGAGGAATGTACTCGCATGTATGGACCAGAAGAGGAAGAAGAAAAAAGAATGAAATAAATTATCCTCCTCTCACTTCTAAGAAATAATTCAAACTGAAGGAGGACTTCTCTTTCCTTTGCAGTTCACATCAGTAAACTAAAACTAAAGTCAGAAACCCACTTCTTGTCGACAATCAGGCCAGTCACACTGAAACAAGGCCAAAGTTAGAACAAACTACAACGAAATAGGAAGGAAAAGTAGTAACAATTCTTAAGCCAACAAACCAACCAGAAGTAGCAATATACCTATATCTACATGTACATACTGCATAAGTACGTACGAATACGGTGGTGAGCGGAAGAGAAATTCCTGAATGGCCCATAGGCACACTTGTACTACACTCTGTATTTGCTAGCCACTCACTTGGTGTGGTTCTTCTTCAGTCGGATCTAAACAACACCAACAAGAAGAAGGGAAAGTGAAATGGGCAAGTGATTGCTGTGCCGATTTTGTTCTTACTTCTCTCCGTCCTTCTCCCTTCTCGAGGCTGAGACGAGTCGTGTACAGAGCCCAATCTTCTGGAGAAAGCAGTGCTGCAGACGGCATTGGATGGAATGGAAGGCAGCAGATTAGTGGGCCATGTATGTGTGCGGGGGTGGGCGATAAAGGCACACACGAGCACAAGGAGAGTGCTTAGAAGAGAAAGTATGCAAGTACATATCAAGCATTGAGAGCAACTGGGCTAGAGCAAACTTTGCCTGTCTTCTTGATTTCACTAAAGAGAGGGTAAAGAAGCTAGCACACGAGTTGTTTACGTGTCTCGTCCACTTAGTTTTGCACAAATTCTTGGATAGGCTCTATTCTGCCCATTGACATCAAACATTGTCTAGCGCCACTTTCTGCAAAACTTTAACCATGAGCTAAGCATCTTGTCCAATAAAGGTCTACTTCACAGACAAATTTTCCTCAATTTATTTGCGAGAGTGGCCAAGTCCAAACTCATGATGAAGATGTAACTGATAACCAACTGATGGATGAGGCTAAATCACAGGTTTTACCTCAACAAGGAAGACTTTTGAACCATTTATTATTCACGAGATACAATTTGAACCCATTTCTCCTAGACTAACAATATCATTAAAATTATCGGTGACTGGAACAGTCATGACTCTAAATCAGTGATGTCTCTTCCCAAGCTCCACTTCCTCCGTTTCAACTTCATGGATCAGTTTAGGAATCTGTGCTGGAAGAGCGGAGTAATCAAGCGAGGCCATAAGTTAAACACTCGGGCGGATATTTATAATCCAACCAAAGCCATTTCTCCTTGTGCTTAAATACGCAGAGAGAACATATTTAATGAATGTGATCTGTCCGACCATTGCGTCAGACTCGGATATCAGAATTCTATCTTTATCAAAATACTTTCGACTTGAACTATGTCGACATTCTCGTATCGAGGAGTTGATAAATCGAGAAAATCTCGACCAATCGTCAGCATAAAACATTGGCAGGTAGGCAGTAGGTGTTCTTGGTGGTTGGTTCAAGGAGTGGATGGATGGGGAATTGAACGAGCTGCTTTTGACTGTGACAGATTTTACCACAAAGCCAGATCTTAGATCACATCACTAATCCATTTCAGGAAATTGGACACATCGATTGTTGAGGTTGTGAAGTTCTTATACGCAAAAGTCACCTGTAAAGACTAGGTCACTATGCGCACGTACACATGTAGTCGGGTCATTGACTTCTGGATCTAATCAATTAATTTAACCGATTAATTGCTACAAATATGCACCTAAGTACATAGTCTTATGAGGTATGAGTTGTGCAACATAAGTAACTCACTAAACTAAATATATACTACTTGGGAATTTCTAGCAAGTGAAAATAATATAAAACCACATATAAATCTTGATCTCATTTCAGTTTTCTAAATCTAAAATTAAAAAATAAATGTCACCCGCGGCGTCTGTCTTAAGAGCTCTCTTGCTATACCCAAAATTAACGACGTGGAGCAATACTTGGATTCTTTAAAATTCTCTCAAATCAAGAATTCAATTCCTGCACGATTTATGTTCATATTTTTTTGTTTCGCCATAGCGTGCCGACATGGGGGGATGTGCCGACAGAATGGGGTCTCTTCAAATCCCAGCAGGGTCCTCTTCTTATCCCAACATGGTTAATTTATGAGCTTTCTCATCTTCCTTTCTTGCTTTCGCATTTACTTTACGCCAGCCAAGTAGCTCTCTCTCTCTGCTCAAATCCTTGTTTATCTGGATTGGATCTTTACTTAAACAAAGTTTACCCACACAGCAAGACCATCTCTCTCACTCGCTGCCAACTCGACGACGAGTCTTGTACATACTTTACTCTACATTTACACAGCAAACAAGTCTCCAAGACTGGACAACTTCATATGAACGGAATGGTGGACGAATGACGGTCTGACTGCGGTTGAATGTTTCCTCTCTTGTTACCAACTTTGACGGAGAGGACGAGGACTTGTTAGCACTAAATAAATTGTTTGACTTTCCCTCATTATCGTTTCGCTGCTGGATCTACAAAATTAATGCACTATGGAGTTTCCTGGAATCGAAAAGCATTCTGGGTTATTTTACTTGACTCCACTGACCTATCTCTCTCTCTCCGCGTCTCTCTCATCTATTTAGAAACCCACACAATGACGTCGTGTTCTTCCCCGTTTCAACACCACTTCCCAAGAACTTGTTCCCAGTCAGTCTCGAAAACCGCACCTACATCAAAACCAGCCAACCACCCTCAAGACATCCCAGCCTCAAAGACAACTGACATACATACATGGATGCAGAAGTTGAGCCTGCTTTTGGTATCCCACTGGCAATATGAGAGAAACAAAAGTTTTACTTGGCATGGCATTCGCATAGGCATCACAAGTAAGGCAATCCTGCCTGGAGTAAAATTGTATCTGTCTAATCATCATTTTTGTTAACTTTGGCTGTCCATGTCTTGTTCTCTTTGGAAAACAAGGCATGCAAGATGATGTGAGGTGTAAGAGGCGAGGAAGGCGAACCGACTGGGAGTACAATTGCGGACGGATGAGAGTGAAGTGATAACAACATAGCAAACTCAAGAACAACTAAAATAGTTACATTTTGTTTTTCTGTTGGAATGTTGACCCTTTGTCAGAACATATGTGGTTTCCACTAATGTCGAACAGAACAGCCTTCTCAAACCAAAAGGAAGGCAACCAAGGCAAGGAGCACATATGTATGTTGATCCCTTTTCCTCTCGTCAAACACACACAATGTTCCCGTGTACAAGAGTTTGCTGCAAAAGGTGAAGTCAAAAGTCGAAACTATGCCGCATCTGCCGTCTTTCCTCTCCTGGAATTAAAGGATATTCCATCTCGGAATTTTGAAAGATGAGCCAAACTCAGGAGAGCAACTTTATAATACTGCCTTCTGCACTACTTTATGCAATATGGATGTACATAGGTACGGTGGTATACTGTCAGCTATGGCGTGGTCTCAGGATAGGATATGATAAGGTCCTTAGTTATAAGACATACTTGATAAATTTTGCAGTATGGCAAAACTAACTTCCTGTTCTTGTTCATTTTGCTTGCTTTGCTTTTGTTTAAAAAAATCTTTAAAAATTCTGAGTGAAAGTTGCAGACTTGTTTAATTTTGAACTTTTTCTTTGTAGTTTACTTTGTGGTTTATCTGAAAGTGTAACGGATCAAAGTATAATACTTGTTCAAACCAGTATGAAATTTTTCTTCTGCGAGGAAACATACCTTCCTCGGTTGCTTATTCGAGTCAACTTGGTAAGGAAAAATTAAGAGTGACTAATAGGATTCTAGTGTTACTTGGAATTCTAATTAACTAACATTATTATCTCAAACAACTAATTGCAGAACACTTTTATGCCATATTTTTTGGTTGCGAAAAAATAAATTCACACGAGTAGGCATGTATGTACAAATGTGGAAAACTAGTTGAACAAGGCTGCGAACAAGGGAAAATTATAGGGCAGGTTCTAGTTTATTACTAATTCATTACACCTATTAAATTGTGCATATCGGATCCAGAACGAGTTCGAATGGCAAAAAGTCGTAAAACCAGCCGAGGAATTGTGGTTTAGTTGCATGCACGTATGGAGCAACCCCCAGCGTTGAACATCTCAAAAGTGATGGAAGGTAATGTTGAATGTGTGAAACACTTGAAACGACTGTAATGAGTTTTACAACCACCCAAAAAACTGTTTCTCCAGAAATCTTCATTCCTTCCCCTTCCTTCTTTCCTCTTGTCCATTGTTGGTTTGAGCGACGGGCAATTTGTTCTTTTACGTCCAAGATACTAATTCATAGGCTCCCCAAATTCCACCACAATCTTTATTCGAACTCTCGGCGCATATTTTACGAGTTCAGCTTGGATGAAATTATTACAATTTCCAACTATTTACTGCCGCGATCCTTGTGAAATTATGTACGTACGTATGTACGTACATATATGCGCTCTGTTTCAAACTCAATCTTTATCTGGTCAATGAAAACATAAATCCACTCATTTCGACATTCAGTGTGAGCTTGAAACTTGGAAGGGGTCTAAATGAAGATGTAATGTGTTTCAAGTGATTGAGACTAGAAAATTATTGACCTCATAAAACAAGTCGTGTCTAGAAGTTCATTATTCGTTTCTTCACTTGAAATGTTTTACGGCACAGGTAATCAATGGCATCTAAGTATTTAAGTAGCCTGTATTTTATTACATTCAGCGAAATGGTGAGTTAGTAATCTTGCTTGATGTATGTAAAATATAGTTTCACGGCCGTTTTAATGACTTTGGAAACATTAATTTCCCCATAAACTGTGTAATTCAACATGAAGTTTAATTTTGCAAGCTTTGATGAAACGCGACTCATTATACTTAAATCTCTGGACAAAGTAATACCTTCAAGTATTTGAGAATTTGAGAATGTAATATAATACGATTGGTTACTTACCAATGATCAAGTCACACAACCCAATGAGTGGATTTCTGAAATAGAAAATATAGTCTTTTTAAGTAATGGGTACAATAGTCCTCAGACCATTAAATGTTAATTATCAGTACATCTAGCGGAATTACAAATTCGGCATTTAATCTGTCTCCATCCTCCATGACACACGTTCGCTCGCAATCTTGGAGGAACTGGAAACAGTTGAGATCAGGGAGCGTTTCTCATTTAGCTTTCTTCCACTCCTCGACATAGACAGAGACTGATTCCAAATTAGGAAACTTATGAAACATTCAAGATTCATCTCCTCAACCCAACCAACCACCACTACCAGTCACTGACACTGACACCAAGAGACCAGCAACTGGGACGAAAGTAAAGTGCACTTTCCCCAAGTGGATGACTTTCGACAAAATTTGATGCATAAATTAGACGTTGCTGCTGCTTAAACACTATTCCCAGTTCAGCAGTAGATAACGAGTGAAGAAAGTCGTTTTCTCAGTAACACACTATTTCCTTCCCCGGCTCCAGATTTTAGACGGCCAACTCGGAGCAGCTCATCCATCATAATTTCATAATGTCGTATTTGTATCTCCGCTGTCTCTTTCTCCTTCAAATGTATTTCACTCCAAGACTTTGACTCGAATGGATGAAACAATAATAATGAGCATCACAAAAAGGTCCATCGATAGCACGAGCCTTCCGTGCATCCTTAGTTGGCTCCTCAAACAATAACAATTCCACTGCCCACTTACACGTCTACAACATTTTGCAAACGACGGCTGAACACTGTGGTCTCATAATATTACCATTTTTAAGCGACACACAAATTGTAAAATCGTCGGCGAAAGAACTAAGCTGCTGTAAAACCTGGCAAGTTTGTTATACATGCGTATGTTCCTTATATCTTTTAAATTTTGCAGTAGAAACGTGATCACCCTACAGAACAAGGAGCTTGTAAATTGCAACACTGCTAACACTCTCCAGCTTTCACGTCATACGTAAATGTACATAAGTGTGTCCTTCGTACATGTGCAGCATAACAAAGGCTTCGCACTTTGAGCTAAATGTGGGTATTTACCTTTATTGCAGGTGGATTTAAATGGATGGAATGCTAAAATCTCTGTCTTGTTATAAACATAATATCAATAATCAGGAGAAGAAATGCAAACGACCGTTGCAGAAATATAGCGTCTTGTCAAAATGGTTATTTCAGAGATTGGATAACAACGTTAAGCTGAATCTGCATCCAGGACAAGACTAAAAGGACGTTGTCATTTCCGTTGAAAACCACACGTAAAAGATATTCAGGCAGAACTGAACGAGTGGAATTCATGTACTTAGCTAAAATTAAGGTAGGTGTAATACACGTATAACTCCAAACATTCTCCATCCATCCGATCTGGAATCACAGCAAATAAATCTCAAAATAAAGGGTATCAGTATCACGAAGCAAGTACGTTTACACCATGTAACATCAAAAAGGTTGTGGTTACCGGTTTCCTGCTCCTCTAATTTCAGCCTCGCCGGTGAATAATTGTAGTGAATCTCTTGTCTTACTCAATTCATCATGAGAATCTGCTTCCATTCACACGTCGACCAGGTGTGAGATTGTTCTCCGTTTCTCAACCTTAAGAGTTGACTAGCCTCAAGTATGAACTATTTATGTATTCGTTCAATTAAAGGGGCAATAATACTACTTGTTACCAATTATTGGGAAAAAAGTTGAATGCGCAACGTATATTTGCCTGCCGTAATTCGATTACGCCCAATTATAATGATTGGACACTGCTTAATTTATAATCTCATCTTTAAATTAAGGCTCACTTCCTATACGACCCATTACGACGAATTAAAAGTGAGTTAAAAAGCCTGATTTTTTGGGTAATAATAAGCAACTCAGCCTTTACAACATTTTTACTTGATGGTGAAATGCTGCAAAGAAAACCTCATTTCTGTCCACTTCACGGAAACCAAAATCATGTTCACCCGTAATTAATTGATTCGGCAAATAACGAAACAACTTGCATTCATTCAAATCATTCATTTCCCATCATTTATACCAAGTGACATGAGAACAGCTTGGCTAAGCACGTCCACACCACAACTTGGCTACGACGTACAATTGCGTAATTATTCCTTTTCATTAGCATACCACGTTCCAATGGAACTTTGTGGTTGCAGCGAAAGTATATACGAATACAACTGCGTGCATATTTAAAGAACAAAGCAACCAAGGACTGCGACCATGTTTGTAAAGGTTCCTTCCTGATGCTCGGAATGTATATACGGTGTTGCACCAAAGTAAAAGCAAATGCAAAATACAGATGCTGCCATACGATGCAGTGAACATCATTAATGCTTCTAGACCCATCGTCCTCAGCATGCCATCCTCTCCGTGGAAACTTTCTTTGCCAGTGGTACAACATGTTCACTCTGCTTCTCATAAATATTATCATTGTCCAAAACAACCATCTCAAAACATTCACCAACACTATGTTATAGGTAATCACATGCGGCAGCGAGCGGTGCACGATACCCTTTGTGGGGTGAATGTTCTTGGATGAATGTAATTAAAGTCCTCAGAAAACAGTTAATATAATCATATTGTCCGAATAATTAGACCCACGTAAACTCTGCCTGACTAATTAAAGTGCTGAACTTTAATTATCCGATTAGAACACAGTTATTATTTACAGCGTATTATTGATCGGTTGAAATTCCATGTGTATTAATCAAATTTTCTCTCCATAATTTATGTATAGTTTTGTATACTGTAATAATCCTTAATTACAAACATATTACTATTAGTAAGCATGCATGTATAGCAGCAGTGAAAATGAAAATGGGTAAAATCGAACGAACGAACGAACGAAATAAAATTCGATGTGCGATTCCTGAACGAACATCTCCCTGAAATCAAACGCATCCAATTCCAGTCCACCTGCGGCAGTTTGCAACAAAATTTCTGCTTTCTATGCAAGTCATGGTGGTAAGTAAAGGATTTGCATTTTCATGGTCTGTCATCCCTTTTACTGTGGTCGTTTTTCCAGAGAGTGAGCGCTTTCGCAGTGTGTCATCGAAATTCGACAACAGAAAATTCTATGCAACAGTACGTACATGAAAGTAGTCTACTCTTTTACGGCGAGAGATGTGGGGACAGAAATGGACTCCCTGCCACGATGTAAACGATCCCACTCATCTCTGACCTAGTCAGTCGTCTGACATCTTTTGCAATCAGTTGTCCAGTCCATAAATGTACACAAAGTAATTTACTGCGATGGAATATAAATATCTGAATGAATTTATTTCGAGAGAGAGCGAGAGAGAAAGAGTAAGCAGATTTCAGTGCCTGGAGTGGACACATGATGTAGTGGAGAAAGACCACAGGCAGCACCACAGCCAATTTCAAAGGAAAATTGGATCATGGAATTCGTTTGTAGTGAAGTGAAGTTGTGAAGTGGCAGGGCGCCTATCGAGGAAGATCATCATAGAAATCCTTGTCGTCTGCGGGAGCTGTGTAAACCGTGTCACTAGATCTATTCCCCTATGCGCCCTCTCCTCAACAACCTCCACCATAACATTACAACCGAAATCGGAACTTCATTCAACCGGCCGAGAGAAAGTGAGAGAGAGAGAGAGAGAGTAGGAATAAGGGACGGATAAATACTTGTCGTGTGGGAGAAAGCACACTTTCACTTGGACTCTAAAACTCATTTCTGTATACGCGCTTTCTCCCACCACTTCCATCTCCTCCTTGGCTCGACATACACTCTCAACCACGTGCGGATGGAAAGCAGTTAAAGTTATAATCCACTCTCAAAGTTGTTTATAGCACGAGAAATGGAGACCAAAGTTTGCCGCGTTATATGCACGTTCACATTTTGCACAAAACAACTCGACTCAAGGAATGGGACGAGCTACATTCCGCTACATTCAGTAGACATTCCGAGCCAAGCAATTTTTGTGGATAATGTAAACTATTTTCTAACTCGTATACTTTCACCGGCTTCCTATACATACAATTGATTTTTCATGCTGGAGGCATGAGTATGTATGTGTAAGACTTGAGGTAGAAATTGCAATAATATTTTCCAACATGAAACGAATTTTGGGGTTACAAGTTAAAAATACGTTTATATGCTTCATAAGTATATGTTAGCTTGTACATCCCTTAATACTAGTCAAACTCTGCTGCTTCTTTCCTTGTAGGAAATAAATATAATAATATTCAACGAGAAATTGCAACTTGATCAGTTGAGCGACTGCCCAAACGGCAAAAAGTTAATATCCGCAAAATCAGATTTTGTGAGCAGCCAGCAATGATTGCCATATTAATATGTAAAGCAAGAGCATGCATTTCTCAAGAATATCTCCCAAGTATAAAACTTGTTTATAATTCAGTCGTGCATAAAGTATTGCAAGCTCAGTGGCACATATTTAAGTAGACATGTTAGCTAGCTGGCCTCATTGTTTTTTGGAGCTCAAGAATTCTGCGAGTCATTGCAAAATAAGGTAAGATTCTTGTGATAAGAAAGGTTTCAAAATTCGGATAGGAGAAACTAAAATATTCGCATGTTGAAATCTTCAACCAAGCGAGACCCAAAATCTCTCAAGTCTTGCAGAAAATTTTCCTTTGAATATATTCATAAGAAAGATACTGCTATCTTATTCCCCCGTCATATTTTAATACTGAGCTTGGTATGGAAATCGTGGAATTGAAAATTCAGCTGAGATCAAGACCTCCGTCTTCTCATGTTTGCACTTATTTGATCCCAAGAATAAGAATTCTCAATTTGCACTTTGAAAATGGGGTCTGGTTTTAATCAATATCAAGATCTTTTTTTAATTTTTAAGCAAGTATGTATTTATGAAATAATACCTCTAAAGCGATAAACTTAGGTTTATCGTAACACTTCTATGTTTTGATCTCAATTCGAGCAATATGTTGCCATTCATTTGTCATGGTGCACATGATCCAGAGAAAAGGAGAAAAAAGTATACATGTCGCAAAACTATAATCATCACGTTATGAATCCTA